GCGCTGCCTTGGCAATTTGTGCAATTAAAAAGGACAAAGACATGGCTGAGCAAACATGGCTACTACGGTCTGTCAATTTTCCAGAAAGAACTCCATTTCACTCGCACCATTTCAGGTTCTCGTGTTTTTCGTCAGAGAGGAAGTAGGATCCTTATTTTACACGCAATGAGCAATTTGCTGACAACGGACAACTAAATTTAAAATATGTTTGATTTTCTCCCGACCCTATGATTTCAGATCGGGAGGTGGTCATGAGAGGCCGATCGCCTGATCACATTATCCAGGGTTTAGAAGGAAAACTAGAAATGACAGTCCAGTGTTGTCAACTAAGCAACTTTGTGCTATATTTAAGGATTTTTCTGCCGCTTCTATTGTAGCAACTTTTCTGTTCCAAGTGATTTCAAGACACAAATCTGTGGACTTTTCTCAGTGTTTTTGGCAAATTTAGTGACTTCAAGTGAAAGTAGAAATCATTGTTTCAGAACAGCAGCGAGAGCCGCTGTGATTCTCTACTAAGCGCTTCCCTAAGCGCTGTGTCACAGGCATAGACTTCTATCTTATAAAATACTTAACTTCCTAAACTTTATACAACACTTTTCTTTAAGTATTGAACATTGTCATTAGGAGATAACATTCAATCATTTGCAAAATTGAACAGCAAAAACAGTAAAGGCTAAGAACAGAATGCCCAGTATTCAAGGCAGACAGTCGGATATTTAAAAAATCGTTTATTTAAAAATGATGGATCCACAGTAGCAGGAAGGATGTTTAAGGCAGGAACCTCTGCAGGAGGAGAATGCAGGTTAGTGATCATGTTGATCTGACGGAGGATGATAATGAAAATGAGAGTCACTAACCTGGCCTTATAGCTCAGTCCGTGCCCAGAGGATGAGGTTGATTCCAGCCCATAGGCTGCCAACAATATGCGAAGGGATGGGTCCAGTGAGTTCCAGAAGCTGCTCCGGTAGTCAGGACAGGCAGGAGATCAGATGATGATGTCAGGTCAGGAAAAAAGATCAGAACAGGGACAGGAAGGCTCAGAAGTCCAAAGGCAGAATGGGTCAGGATCAGGTAAACAGTAACACCAAGGTAAGGAAGAGAGACTCTCACCAAATGCTCAACAGTAATCTGGCACTGATGACTTGTTACAGGGCTGGTTAAATAGAAGCTGGAGCAGGTGAATCAGATGAACAGTAATGAGGAACTGGGCGGAGCTAGGCAGGTGAATGAAAAGAGTAAACCAGCCAGTCATCAGCACCATGATCATGACAAAAACATAAATAATGAAAGTAGTCTTTAAAAGCAACTTCTAATATACAACCTTGGTTCTGTAGATTTTTCTTTCACTTAAGCTGAATCCAGTTGCAGCACAAAGTAGTAGAAAAATATACCAAGTTTAGGGCTCAGAAAACCATATTCATTCAACAGAAGTCTGAGTGTTTTATTTTCATGGTTACCTCAAAGTAAAATTTCTCAAACATTTTTTGCTTGGAATCATGGTGCCATGAAATGTTGCTACTTTCTACAATCACAATAGAGTCACAGCAAATTAATCAGATCAGTTGTGTAGCGTATCTTGGGAGAACAATTGCATTTTGTTGGCCCACTCTTCTTTGAAAGCCCCATTTCTATATTCAACCCTCCTTAGTTTTTGTAATTATAAATGTTTTGTGATTTAATTACCCCGTTTGCAATAGCTGTCTGAAAATGATCGGTTCAGACCAAGCTTGGATCAGTTAACCTTGCCAAGCTTGGTTCTTACGACCATTTACACATCACGCTAGCACATTTCCACGCCTCCTATCGGTGGCCCACAATACTACAGGTCTCAAGGCAGGAATTACAAATATATAACAAAAATGGCGGTGCCCACAACATCAAGGAGCTTATTTTGTTTATATTAGTGATATTTCATTATTTGTGGCATGTCAGGCGAGGAAGGTATCCCACGTGGTCTTAGTATCATCTCAGTTCACACCAGTGGCGGCTGGTGAAAAATATTTTTGGGGGGGCTGATATAGCCTAGTGTATGTCTCCAACT